CTTGGTGGCTGTTTAGAAAGCAAGGAGGCTTACAGCACTCCAGGTAAGCAGGAAGTGAAGCCTGATTAACTGGCAGCAGACCTTTTCCGTGAGCTGTTTAAAAACTGTTGGTTCAACATGTGTTTTGGACAGCTTATGAAGAAGGCTTGTGAAGCCTTCCAAGCCTGGGGAGAGATGGCTTGGTTTAAGTTCTTCCCCATCCTTTTATTCAAGGATGGAAAAAGCTGCCTGTGTGTTACCTGCAGGCAACAGATATGCTTCAGCTCAGTGTTAAATCAGAGTTAGCATCTCTTACTGGAGACAGGGGAGAGCAGAAGAGAATAGCTTTGGGGGCTGAACATGTGTCAGCAAGGGAGAAGAGAAACCCTTGTGGCCATCCTCAGGAAATAGTTGTAAACACATTCACTGCCTTTACTGGCACTCATGGTCACTTTCTTGAAGACTTCTTTTTAGCTCAACAAAAAGAACTGGTGCTTCTATATCACACAGTCTCACATGGAAACAGAATTGCACCTGAGTCTTCCTTTTAGCTACAGGTTTTAAGTAATTGTGCACATCTCCATTAAGTTGAGTTTCATGGTCTTTCCCATCTGAAGTTGTCTTGAATGCTGTATTTTTATGTAAATTGAGATTTGTCTGAAAATACTGATAGTACAAGGCTATGGGTTCCCCCCCCCAATACATTATCTGAGCAATGTCTTTACAGTGTCACTTTACTCATATATTTCTGATGTGCTTCTGTCTGGTTTTAGACTGTTTCTACCAGTTTCTGGGCCTTGCTGCTGACTCTTGCCAGTTTTATGTGGAGTGCAAATTCCTGCTAGGAACTGGTCTAATAAAAACACTGCATCTTTTTTGTTTTCTTGCACCTGCTATAGTGGAGGGATTATTCACTGTGTACACATACTCACATGTGAAATAAAGGGGTGGAAAAAAAACCCTGAGTTGCAAGGTTTTCCAGCTATGTTTCTTATTTGTCCTATGTGGTTTTGAATGCAAAGTCAACAAATAACAGTAATTTGTCTTTATTCCATTCACACCATTCAAGTTGAGCTTTTTGGCTAGTATTGGTCCCTCCAAAAATCTGGTTTTAACTCCTCTGAGCTCATTTCTTAGTTTCCCTTCTTGGTTTTGGCATGCAGCTAGATCAGATTGTTTTAAATGTTTGGAGTGCAGCTTCATGTGACTATTTTGTTTGCAGGTAAAAAGTCTTCATTATGACTGTATGGACTTCCCTCCAATCTATTCAGGAAAGGGCTCATTTCTCTTTGTTAATATTTATAAAACGTTGGAGATAATATATGCTAGTATTTTTTTTTTAAAGGGGGCATCAGGACCTTGAGAAATAAATGCAGAGTCGGAAGACAAAATTTCCCAAAACCTTATCTTCAGGTGGGGAAATTGCTATTCTGCTTTAATTCTATTGTGGAGACTTCTGAAAGAAAAGTGGTTGTTTTGGAAGAGGCATGTATAGATATATAGAGCATTTGCAGAGGTGGTTATTCCAGAAAAGCTAAATCATATCCAAATAGCTGTGTCGGGTCATTTCCCCCTACAGACAATAATATCCTTGGGAAAAGACTGTAGAAGTCTTGTCTAAAGGCTGCGGTAGCAAGATTGCCTGGTTTGGTACGTCAGTGCTCACATGTCCTCGCTCCGCTGGTGCAGACTCTGCAGCAGGCTCCTTGTGGAGCACAGACAGTTGCTTTATTGTTGCCGTGTACCTTCTGGTACCCCTGGTGCTGCTGTGCGAGGTCCGGCAGGGCTCTGCAGCATGGGGAAATGCCAGTGCCCAGGCTGACTGGGTGGCATCACTGCCAAGGAGGGAGGACACAGCCTGAGCTCATGGTTGTGACACGGAAAATCATCCGGGAGTAACTGAGAAGGGTTGTGGACTTCTCTAGCAAGGAGAGACTGGGCTCTGCTTTGGTGTTATGGAAGAAAGAATGATTTGTAATAAATAGTCTGTGTGGTTGAGCAATGGGGAAAAGCTGCTGGAGCTAAGTTACTCTGCAGCGTTGTCTGAAAAGCAGCTTCACCCAAAAGACTGCTTTCAGCAGCCAAGGGTGTATTTGAGAAGTTGGACTAACAAGGTAGGACTGGAGCAACTTCCCAGCATATCAAATCAGCCCTTGTTAGTAGGGGCAGGCACGTCTCATGACCTCCATCATGAATCTGTCAAGCTCCATCTTGAGCAATATAAGCTTTTGCCTTTTCTAATCCCACCATGAGATTCTTTTTTCCCCAGAATTCGAAGTAATTGCATCTAAAGCATGCAGTGATCTGTTTCCCAGGAGCTTGTGTGTAGTGAGTGGACAAGACCTCCAATGAATGAGTTCATGAGAGACTGGTTAAGAAACTGGAAGACTTCTGTAATGTTCCTAGGCCTAAACGTGGAATGTAAAATCTTGTGCGGCACCGAGCTCCTTACTAGAAAGGTGCAAGTCAGTTGTTTGAAAGGACTGCTTGCATACAAAGAATAGGGGTGATGTGCAGGAGAACAGTGCTACTAAAGGAGCAAGGTGAGAGAGAAGTCAGAGGAGGTGACTTCTTTTGAGAAAGCAGCACTCTGCTGCTGGAGCTGAGTATCAGCACTTTTTCCTACCTATTACTGGCACTGAGGAAGGAAACAGATGCTTGAGGTCTGAAGAATTAAGAGTGTAATTTGGTAAGCTAGATGCATAACAATAAAAGACTATGTAAAAATTGCATCATGGAGCTCTGCCTGTCCTGATGGGAGAAGGGGACATGGTCTTGGTGGCACTGGTATTTTCATTTGGGGGGACTACAGGTTGAAGAGCATCACTTTTCCTTGCTCTGATGTTCTTCAGCCTGTGAGGTTCAAGAGCAGTGCAGATGAATAGGAGGAGTACTGTTGTCTTGTAGCATGGGGGGATCAGTTCTCAAACTGCCCCATTGTATTGCAGGGGCTGTTCTCTCCTGCCTGAAAGGCCCACAGCAGAGCGACCTCCCTACTGGGTCTGACCTGCTCCAGCAACCTCCCATTTTTATGAGGAGTTTCCTTTGAGGCTGTCAGGTCTGAGTTCTGCTGAACATCCAGACTGTCTTAAGGTGATTGAACACTGGCAATGTCATGAGAGGCAACTACTTTGTGTTTAATTCATGTGAAGCTGCCAAGTCCTATAGCAATGCTGACTGGTTCACTTGAGCCCTAGTTTTTACATGGAAACTAGAAAGAGGGGCTAGTATGTGGGCTTTTGGTTTACCTCTAGAAAACCAATGACCTCTCTTCTTTACTCCTTTACGAGCAACACAGTTGTATCAGTGTATCTAAACCTAAAGGTAGTATTTTAAAGGTGCCTCATGCTAGTATAGCATAGCCCCCTATCCATAGAAAAATCACCTGTGTTGGAATAAGTAACCTTCCATTGGCATGCCAGCATGGATGGTAGGACAGTTGTACTTTCTCAGCAATACTCGTGTTGGTAACTTCCTATCATTAGATAAGTGAGGGCAGATTTATACAGCAAGATAAAAATGTCTTGGTTCTGCTCTGTGCCTTTGCTAAAGATTCCTAACATTTGCTTTTTTAACTGCCACAAAGCATTGTAGCTCCAGTCACTCGTACAAAGCTCTTTTGTAATGTTTTAAGAATCTGTGAAAGGTCTTAACTTCATTAGAGGTTCTGTTTGGTTGGTTGGTAAGAACAGAAGTTATACTGTGTCTGAAGCCAGGGTATTGCTTTTAGCTCTAGAAGAAGCTGTAGGTGTAACTCAAGCACCTGTGACACCACAACTTGATCTTTCTGCCTGCAGGCAGGCCTAAGTGAGCATGCACTGGCATCCTGGCACAGGCATGTGCTGGGCCCTCTGCACAGGCCAGCCTGCTGCTCTGAGCAGAGATCACGGTCAAGCTTTGTCCTAACACTGTCAATGCACAAAGGAGTGCAACTGGGTCATGTGCAGGCTGGTAAATAAAAAACAAGCCCTGTGACCAGGTTCCAAGACAAACACCAAAGATTTCACAAAACCCCGGACAATTACTTACCAGAATACCAAACAATAGCAGGCACCTGTTTTAAAGCCACCAAAAGAAAGTACTTGCCCGCTGTTCACCCATTCACACACCGAATACGAAGTTGTAGAGCTTGTCCTATACAGAGGTGGTGTGGTTTAACCCCAGCCAGCATCTAAGCACCACGGAGCCACTCTCTCACTTTCCCCCCACCCAGTGGGAT